AGGTCATGAATGGATATTAGATAGTCTGTCCAGGAAAAAGATGATGAACAGATTATTTCTGAGAACAACATAGTGAACAAATTATCAACCTCTGAATGATGCTCAGTTCTTAACCCTGCATAAATAAGATGAACAACCAAATAGGAAAAAAGATGTCAGTGTGTTGGATATTTCAGTGTTAGCTGCTCACATGATTTTTCCCAAGAATACTGTTATATTTTATTTTTGCCTCAAAGTTCCAGCTTCTGGATAAAAAATGGGAAAACCCTTGCACTGCTGGAAGAGAATATACAGTTGAGTCATTCTCATTCAGTTTGAGAGTGTAGAAAAGTATTTATGCATAAGCTTAACTTCAGGTTTGGGCACTGCTGTCTGACTCCACTATCTGTGGAGGTTAACCAGAGACTGAAAGGTCAGGAGACTGAAAGTTTTTTCTAGGTCAAGGCTGAATGTCCTTCTGTGTCCTTTCCATATGGTAGAAATTACATCTGTGAAGTCTGTTTGCTTATCCAGTCGACACTGTGACACTCAGAAAATACATAGGCTATAGTACCATGATGAAATCTGGCACCATATAGTCCAAATTATTTTTAAGGTAACAACTTTTTTTGCTTTGAAGAAGCATTTGTGGAAAGGAGATGATGAAGACAAATATCTGCAAAATGTACAGCATTAAGGAAAAGATGAGTTAATTAGAATTCATTTTAAACAGGAACTTGTTTGTAGAAATTTCTATGCTAAAATAAAGCTGTTTACCAAATATTCAAAGAACATACATATGTCAAGTCAAATCTGGATGCACAAAGGAAAGTGTAAAAACCATGTTGCTACAGAAGCAGTATGAAATTTTGCCTGTGCTTAACCTGAAAGCACTGCCTGGAAAAATACTGATATAGTATGCATTAATATTCAATTTTCTTTCATCTCTTTTCTGTTTCAAGTATGTTTTCTTGCAGTGAATTTTCACTTCAGTGTTTCTTCTTTCAGTCTCATCAGAATTTTGGACTTTTGGAGGTATGGAAAACTGGAAAATTATCATTATTATTAATCAAGCATTCCTTATGAGAGTGATTTTCCAAATAAATACAATTTTACAGTATAAAATATATTAATGAAATGTTACATCACGGATTGGCCTGACTGAAAAAGAGTACATTCATTTCTCAGACAGTGCAAAACATTTTAAATTGATTTGACAAAATGCCAAGCTAGAGAAACATGCACGATGGGAGAGGCTCTCAAGCTCCCCATGAGAAAGCAGTATGACCAGGTGCCCACCTCAAACACTTGTACAAAAATGATCAAAGCCTGAAAAACAAACAGGAGGACCTGGGAGTCCATTTAATGACATCCATCACCCAGGTATGATGGGAGAGCCAGAACAACAGGAGTGCTGCAGTGGATGGATATTGGCTCTTTAGGAAGGACAGGCAGGGAGGACAAGGTAAGGGTTATGCTCTGCACAGTGGGCACCTTGAATGCATGGAGCTTTGCTCCATAACAGGCAACTGGTCTGTTGAAAGCACATAAGTCAGATTTAGAGAAGTCAGCAAGGGGAATGTCACGGTGGGCATTCATTACAGACTGTCTTGTCAAGAAGTGGCACTGGATGGGAAGGGTTCTTTTAACAACTGTAAGAATCTCCATAATTGGAGACTAGCTACTTCGGCATCTTCTGGGAGAGCAGCACCATGAGGAGCAATCAATCCAGAAAGTGCATCAGGGACAATTATCTAATGCAGGTACTGGGTTTCCAGCTAGAGATGGTAGTCTCCTAGACCTGTTATTCACATACCTTCTGCTTGCAGATATGATCAGCAGCAGCAGCCTTGGCTGCAGTGACCATGACTGCCTTCATGAGATGACAGCGTTCAAGATCCTGAGGGAAGTGAGGAAGGCAAGCAGCAGGATAAAAGCCCTGGACTTCTAGACTTTGGCTTGTTCTGGGACCTGGTAGGCAGGATCCTACTGGAGGCTGCTATGAAGTGCAAAGGGGCCCAGAAAGAGCTTCTCAGTCTTAAGGAACAATTTCCTTAAAGCGTAAGAATTATCCATTGCAATGTGCAGGAAAATAAGCAGATATGGCAGCAGGCCAGCTTGGCTGAACAGAGAACTATTGACTGGGACCAAATACAGAAAGGAAGCATGCAGGAGGCGGATACCGGGACAGGCTACCAAAGGGTAATATAGAAGTATTCCCAAGGGATGAAGTAAGGAAGGCCAAAGTTCAGCTGGAGTTGAACTTGGCTAGGTATATGAAGGACAACATGAAAGACAGTACAGGTAAGGCAGCAGTAAAAAAGAGGCCAAGGATAACATAGGCACTCTGCTCAGGAGGAAGGCAACCTAGTGACAAAGGACACAGGAAAGGTTAAGGTACTTAGCGCTTTCTTTGTCTTGATCTCTACTGGCAAGGTCTGCTCTCTGGCCTCCCAGTTCTTCATGTCTGGTAGCAAAGATTTGGAGAGGACGTGCTACACACAGCAGAGGACGACTGAGTTAGGGACTACTTCACCTGGATATACACAGGTCCATGGCACTGGCCAGAAGGCCTTCAAGGGTGCTGAGAGGGATAGTTGATACTGTTGCAAGGCTGCCAAAGTCTAATCAGCAGCTGATAATGAGTGCCATTCCTCAGGAACCAGTCCTACATCAGTGATGGGGAGGAAGAAGTGGAAGGATCCTCCATGAGTCTGCAAGAAATCCCATGCTGGCAGGAGTGGTTGGTGTGCTGGAGGGCAGCACTGCCAGTCAGGAGGAGCTCGACAAGCTGCAGGAATGTGTCAACAGGAATATTATGAGTTCAGCCAGATGCTAAGCTCGTCACCTGCGATGCACTGATGATGGCTGGCCAATGGCTGGCTAAAAAACTCCTTTGCACAAAAGGACCCAGAGATTTCAGGGCCCTCATACAAGAGAAACAAACTGGAGTCCAGCTGAGGAAGATGGTTTTATTTAGCCTGGAGTAGAGAAAGGTAAGGGGTGACCTAATTGCAGTCTTCAACTACCTACAAGTGCTTTGTAGAGAACATGCATCCTTCTCAGAGACACACAGCAAAAGGATAAGAGGCAACGATCACAAGTTACAACAAAAAAAATTTCAGTTGGCCCTAAGAAAAAGGTCTTTCACGATGACAGTGGTGAACAGACCAATCAAAAAGGATGTGGAATCCTTATCCTTGGAGATTTCAAAAGTCTACTGGACAAGACCCTGAGCAACCTGATCTAAATTTGAAGTCTGCCCTGTTTTAAGCAGGAGATTGGACTAGATGAGGTCTTTATGACCTTTTAACCTAAATTATTCTGTGGTACTTTAACTTCTCTTCATGCCACATTACCTTGCAAGAGTTGAAATTTCAGTTTCCAATATTTTTTATAAGAGTCGTCCTTGAAGGGTACATCTCCATACGGGAAATGCACTGACTGAAAACGCACACCCCTCGTGAGACTTATAAATTTTTCAATGCATTGTAGAGGGAAGCACTCTAGCTATGGATTTTGGTCCCAGGGAAAGTTGCGGGTATCAGACTCCCATAATTGCCCAGAAGAACTATATAAAGGATCATGCATCATCATAAGGAAGTGTAAATTAGCACTGCGATTGCTTTGAAAGGAAGCTTGTAAATTCTGTTTTGTAAAAACTAACTCCATCGTTCTGATGACAGGAATGTCAAATGTTCAATTTCAATATTGAAATAAAAGGTTTTGACTACTCTTAATGTGAATTTTTCACAATGTGCATCTCCTGGAAAACTTATGAAGGTCAAATTTCCTCCTTGCTCTAGGAGAAAAACAAATGTGAAAAGACAGAATTTCCTGCAATACAGAAATACCACATTTCTCTCAGCTGTGTAACTGAATACTGTTGAGCACCATTCCTCTCAAGAGCTCCAAATATTTTGAACTACAGTGCAAATGTTGGTGTTACCACCATCGTTCCATAAATATTACTGAACCGTGATCTGAGAAATGTGGAATCACTCATGGCCATCCATCTCTGCCTCTTATGGTTTACTGCCTTCCCTCAATGTTTTTAATTAAGGTATTGTGAGTCTTCACACTTAAAAACAAAAGGAAACAAAGAAATTGAGCCTCACGATTTTTTCGCTCTGACCTAATATGAGGTTTGCATTTGCAGAAGGCATATTATGAAGAAGACATTATGATGTCTTTCTTCACGGAGACCTTTCTAAAAAATTTAAGATTTTTTTTTTTCCAAAATAAATCTTTTTGACCAGGAAGCAATACTTAGTCTATAAATGAGTGCATATTGTTGTACTGATTTTGGCTATGATAGTTAATTTTCTTCATAGTAACTGGTAGGGTACTATGTTTTGGATTTGTGCTGAAAACAATGTTGATAATACAAGGATGGTTTTGTTATCGCTGAGCAGCACTTACACAGAGTCAAGGCCTTTTCTGCTTCTCACCCCACCCCACCAGCAAGTAGGCTGGGGGTGCACAAGAAGCTGGGAGGGGACACAGCTGGGACAGCTGACCCCAACTGACCAAAGGGATATCCCACACCATATGACATCATGCTCAGCAATATAAAGCTGGGGGAAGGAGAAGAAAGGGGAGACATTCAGAATGATGGCGTTTGTCTTCCCAAGTAACCGTTACATGTGATGGAGCCCTGCTTGCCTGGAGATGGCTGAACACCTGTCTGCTGATGGGAAGTAGTGAATGAACTCCTTGTTTTGCTTTGCCTGCATGCACAGCTTTTGCTTTACCTATTAAACTGTCTTTGTCTCAACCCATGAGTTTTCTCACTTGTACCTTTCCAATTCTCTCCCCCATTCCACTGGGGCAGGGGGTGAGCGAGCAGCTGGGTGGGGCTAAGCTGCCTACTAGGGTTAAAACACAACAGTACACAAAATGCCCAAGGATGATTTAGTCACCCAGCAAAGGGAGAAAGGATCCCCACCATCATCATCTTACAAGAAAAGGCAGCATTTGATCAGGAATGACTTTCAAAATGCCTTCTTTAATGAAGTTACCTTTATCTCCTGGAGGCCCAACTCTGCCTGGACGACCTGGGGCACCTTTCTCCCCCTTTTCTCCAGCCTCCCCTGTTGATACAAAAGGAAACAAAAAGAAGAATCATATTAAACCAGGACTATTTTCTGTTGGTGACAGTGACAAGAGTGCCATTCTCCCCACTGAAAATAAAAAACTACGATAAGAAGCGGGGAAAAAGGTAAAAGCAGATGCGATCTGTCTTAACAGCTTTACTTCATGCATGGAGAACAGTTTCCTGCAATTGGCATAGACAATGCCAAAACCAAAGTCAATAGATTACTGAAGTCTCATACAATAGGTCTAGTTTTGTGGATGTTACTCATATCATCAACCTCCAAAAAGCCCAACAGCACAATTCACTTAAGTAGAAGCTTCAGAATTAGGCCCCAATTTAGCACATAAACTTCTGGGTCTTTGTTCACCAAACACTTCCTGAGCATCTGCTAAGGACATGCTTAAGTCTCAAGGGAAAATGGCTTAACTCTAACCTCAAATTAAAAAAAAAAAGAAAAAACTTTATGCCATTTACAGAGCAAGGATGGATCAGGCCTATAGGAAGGCATTGCTACATCCCTCATTTAGAGGATCATTTTTAAGCATGAAAGAGTATCTCCTAATCCACATTCTCAGTTATATACTGTGCCTTTTAATGTCTGCGGTATGAACCACTGTGCCTTGTACTTAGATGAACATGGCTCACGGCGCATTATTATATTCAGCATATTTAAACATCAGTTTCTGTAAATGTTTGCCTCCCTGGTGCCTTTCATTGGAAATTTGGGAATGCTTACCTTGTTTTGCCCCCTACTATTGTAGTTTGCCATTGACATCAAATTAAAATCTCTTAAACAAATAGAAGTTCAGAGAATGATTTACATAGCCACCTTTACAAAAAAGATTTATATGAAGGAGAAGAAAGCTCTACAGCTTCCACAGAAAAGAAAATGCCAGGATCTAAAAGCCAGAGCTAGCGCAACACACCTGATGCCCCAACACTGTATTTGTACAGAGAGTGAACCTTAGCAGGAAAGTCAACGGTTATCATGTACCCTTCAAGCTCTGCTCTCTGGCTTAGCTGGCAACTGTGGTTCACAGAGGGACCATAGAGATGACATGTAAAAACAAGCCGAAACATGGTACGTTTCAAATATGCAGCCTCCAGCTCTCTCACTCCTTATTGCAGACATAGGTGGCTGTGAGCTGAACTCAGCCCTCCATCTGTTATGCTTCCCTTCTCCAGGCTGCCAGCAGGCTCCATACCATCTTCCCTGCCTTCAGACATGCAAAAATAGGCCATTCTCTGACCTTAATGAGGACAAACTTCACATAATCCCCAGTGAATAATATTGTTAGCATGAAACAGGCTATTATTTGGCACATTTGGGAACGTCACTTTTTTTATTAGCAGGTAACCAATAGGCTTTGTATGATTGCCTTTCCCCCCTCAAGGCTGGTTATGAGTTCTTTGCTTCCCAAAGATAAATCCTGACAATGACTTTTTCCTGCTCTCTGGAGGCTGAGAGCAGGCTATTACAGCCTATTGCTTTACACGTTCTTCAGAGTGAAAGCTGTGCATTAGGGATCAATAAAATAGATCACTCGTGCTTCAGGCCATTACACTTGCCTGCATTTATTCCTATAATAAGATGACACTGCATTCCTTAGTGTGGGTGTTTAAGAAACTTTCTCTGGGAGGAGATTACCCCATTACAGGCCCAGCTACAGACCACTCTGCATTTTTTGTTATCAGCTGTTTTAAGCAGCAAGACCTTGGCGAAGAGGGACGGATCAGTGGTCCAGTTCAGCTTTGCCATGTTTAAGTCCCTGTTTCTGCTGTATGTACCCTGAGCACTGTGCAAGTTGAGGAAGCAAAGCCTGTGCAGGTGTCATGGGCAACAAAACAGTTTTCTGTCCAGGAATTTCAATCACTTTAATTTATCACCAATTAACACTAACTTTTAACTTCTGATCCCTGAATTAGGAAGAAAAAACAAACAAATGAACTTAAAGAAAGACACCTCTGCTCCCCCCTTCTGGTCTCCAGCCCCTGTACCACACATTACACCCAGTCCCTTTGGAGCAGAAGGTTGTGGTGAGTGTATTGTGGTCCCTACCCAGTTGCTCCATCATGGCCTCCTCCACCAGCCACAGTCCCTTTGCAGTTGTCCCTCCTGCTCAGTCTCTTCTCCATCCCTTCCCAGGTGGCTTTTTGCTCCAGCCCTACTGCATGAAGGAGTACCTTCTTCCTCAGCGCCATGCAGCTCTTGCCCACGCAGCTGAGATGGGGAGAGGTGTGCCCAGCAGTGCTCTGCAGTGTCGTGATGCCCCACACCTCCATAAGAAATTCAGGCCGGGTACCGAACTGAGCTGCAGCAGGACCACAGGTATCAGGCACACCCTGACACTACCACAAGCTTCTTGTCCTGTCATCTCCGAGAGAGATCTTTCATAATTCAAACAATATACCTTACCATCGCTGTCGATTTACCTTCTTTTGTGAATTCTTTGGGAGAGGATTTGTCTCTGATTATGTTTGCATCCTGCCTACCTTGAGCTGTACCATCTACTGTAATGAACATAGCGCGCCAAATATTAACTACGTGAGCTATTAAGCATTCCTTGGCTGGTGATAACTTTCTTCCATTACTCATACTCCCTGTGTGAGTAGACGCATCAAGTGTGGGCATAAAAAAATTGGTTTTATTTTATTTGCGTAGCATCAACTTTTTTAGGTATTGTATGCCATTGAGACTATTAAGACAATTCCTGCTTTAGATTCTAAAAGGGAGACAAAACAAGGTGGTAAACTGAGAACTTAAGCTTTGAAGGATTGTTCCATGTTATCTTTTTCTCCATAATAGTAGTAACTTCAATCTCATGGGTCTGTCAAAAGAAACAGGACTTTAGGAAGAATATGAGTGAGCAATGTAGCGAGGCTTCATCATCCATCCTCTCTTCACACACAACACACTTTTCCTGTTATTAATATTGTCAGCTTTCTAAAACACAGATCAGTCTGCTGTCTGGATTCTCAGAGCCACAGTATTCTTCCCTTCCGCATTTCATCTTACTCCTTTATACTGTTGAGGGTATAAAAAAAAAAAAAAAAAAAAAAAATCAGTCCCTAAGACCTAAGCTGCTGACCTTAAACTCATTTGTGCCTTTTTCTATTCTTGGTGTCTTTACTGGCTTTCTTCATCTTCCATTTCCACCTCCATTCTCATCTCATCCCTCTTCTGATTCCCCCTTTTATTCTGCAGGGTCCTAATTGGCTTTGTGTCATTTTCTTTTTTTTTTTTTTTTTTTTTTTTTTTTTAGTTTCTAGTCTCTCCACTCAGTCTCATTCTTTGTACTGCTCTTTTCTCTTTCCCCTTCATTTCTTCCTGTTCTTCTAAAATTTGTCCATTACACTCTCCCACTTTTGGGTACTTTTCCCTGGTGTCTTTCTCCTTCACCACCCCATTTGGGCTCCACTTTCTGCACCACTTCTTAGGCTTAACCCTCTCCTCCTATTTTTTCCCCTTTCACACATCGCATGGTCTCCCTCATTTCTTCCACTTCTTCCCTGTACGTATTTTTCCCAAATCCTGACAGGCTCGTGCCCAGCAGCGGCATGCGGCTCTGCTCAACCAGCATTGGAGATGTTGCCGGCAGCCCAGCAGAGGAGAAGATGGGGCAGATCGAAAAGCCGCAGCGAGCAAATCCCGCTGCGTGGCAGCTGAACTTTGGGCACGCGGCCACATATACACTCAGTTTAAAGGAAGCCTTGGCCACCAAAATGGGTTGGAGTTGTGCCAGCAGTATCTCATTACCAATTCTCTGAGCCAGTCCCCCTGACAGTGTAGCTGGAGCATTATTAGCTTTTTAGGGATTTCACATTTACTAGGGCTGTATCAGGCCATTTTGTGCTTTGCTGAATTTGTACATCAATCTGTCTCACTTTTGCAAGGTTTACATTTCATGAATCGGAGCAAAATCATTAACACATTATGGTTTTCAGGCCTCTCTGTTGTTTCCTGGCTCAGGATTGCCTTCTGACAAGGGCCAAGGTCCTGCACTATTTATACGTTTTTAAAAATTCTGCTGTATATAACAATAATAATAATCATAAATAATAATAATAATAACAGTCCTTTCACAAAAATGGTAATCACAGGTGTTAATTTTGACTGATTACACAAATAAGGAAACTGAGGCAAAGAAGTTACAAAATTTGTCAAGCCTGTCAACAACTTTGAAATAAAAAATCATTTCAAAGCTTCAGTCCCCAGTGCTGTGGGGTCTGACCCTTTCACTGATCTTCTGTGTAACTTTAGACAACGTATATTTAACTTGATTGTGTTCCCCTGTGTAAGTCACATCAACAGCACTATCTTATGCCTATTTCACAGCAAATATCTCAAACAAATGAAACAACTTTACTCAAGGCTTAGTCAAACCTGAGAAGACCTGGCTATAGTGTTGTCCTTTCTAAGCTGAACATCTGCAGAAGGTGTAAATATTATTAAAACTTCAAAGGCCACTTATTGAAGTAAAATTAAAAAAAATATATTTTGGTTCAGTTCAGGCATCCAAAGCTGCATCTATAATAATAATTAACAAAACAGGAGAGTTTTTTTGGTCCTGAAGCCAATTGGCCAAGCACAACCCACATCCCTACAGCCTAATTCTCTTGCTTCCAGCACAGGGCAGCCAATTCCAAACTGGGCAATGTCTGGAGAGGGTAGTTCACACCATAGCCAAACCTGTGGCCAGGCTGCGCTCGCAATTTAACTGCATGAACAATTGCAGGACAGAACTGAGCCTTGTCCTCACCAATCAATTAACCAGCACAGACAGAGCCTGCAGTCCATACTATGGTCCTCAAGCAACTGGGTGAAGCTCAGGTTTGCACTAGTAACGTTAGTGGCATCAATATTGTTAGTTGAGTTTTGTGATACTACAATGCATAACTACCAGAAAAACTGGAAGGGAGTTGTGCAGTTCTTAAACAATGCATTTTTTTATCATTAATGATAAACCAGTGGTTTTAATGGTTTTTTTTGTCCTTAGTTAACAGGTATTTCCCCATGCTCACAGGTTTTCCACTCCAGTAGAAATACCATAGCCTCCATAATGGGAATTAGCGTTAGTGACTAAACAGGGCCAGGATTTCACACCATAATGGATGCTCTTGCTTTAAAATGCTAATTCTTTCCAGCTGTTAATTTCCTATTTAAGTTACTTTAATACATTTTTTGCTACAAAAAGATCAATAATTTATTATGCCATCTTTTTTTGGCAATAGTTTGAAGGCATATTTTGTAAAAATGTTACTTTTGTTGACAGAAACTATAGAAATGCCAAAATTGTAACTAATTTTTTATTTCTTCTAAAAGGCATTTGAGCATTTAAAAATCAAGGGAAGACAAGCAGAAGACTAGAAAACACAAAATACGTCTCATTAGTACATTACAAAATGGTAATGACAACCTCTCCAGATATAAAGTAGGGCCTGATTTTACAGTCTTTGGGTATGTGCACCATTCATGAGTATAAACACAGACAAAGCAACCAGGCAGCATATCAGAGTAACAAGCACTACTGATCAGGAGCAAGTCTGGGAAACTTTGACATGCATTCTCTGAACCGTGTTCATTTTAACAGACTTAAGTTCATCTTATGAACCTTAAAACTCCATTTTTTAGGAGGCTACAAAGTGGACAAATAAAAGGACAACTGAAAGGCACCTTCTTTGTCTCTGTTAGAAACAGTCAGCGGTGCAAATGAGCCTGTTAGAAAGAAAGGATTAGTATTTGAATGATGGAGTAGACTTCCACGTTACCTTTGAGGCCTGGAACAAGAATTTGAACAGAGCAGGACTCCTCTGCAATATGTTGAGGATATCCAGACCTTAGCAGTGACAGGAAGGCAAGGCTAATTAGAGTCACCAAGAAAACCAGATCTCTCTTCATAATGAGCACTTACAGGTCACTGACTCCTAAACAAAAGAATGAATAAACAGTTATAAGAATTCCAAAGACTTTCAACAGTTTCTGAACATATACAGCATCCTACTACGAATACAATACATTTTTGTGTGCCACAACCCACACAGCATGAGAATGACACGTGCAGGTCCTCCGAGCAGGTTGTGTGTTCCACACACATACACAAAACATGCCGCAGCGCATTCAGCAGTTTGTTTTGGTGTTAGATGGGGTAAGATAAAGCTCAGAAGAAATTTAGTTAAGAAGACTGAGATTAAGCAATGCTAATAATAGGCAACTCTGTGTTCATGATTTCTCATTGGAGGCAGGGATCTGGAAAAGTCAAAGGAGAAAATCTAGTACATAGGCTTGCATTGAAAGATGTTAGTACTCAGTTGCCACTTAGAAAGAGTGCATGCTGCTCTAAAGAGCCAATTCAGTAGATGATGAGACCAGCCTAGAGGCCTGAAATTTCACTTCCCATCTACCTGAGCACTGAAATTGTGCCCAGCAAATTGTCTGATGCAACAGCCCTCATGTAACTCATTGAGGGTGGAAGGAAGATAATGTTTCACTATATCATGCAATGAAGTTACATCAGAGCCTTCAATAAATCCTGAAGATTCACCTCTGAAACTACCCTTGTCTAAGCCTACAAGTGAAATGGCTTGCCTTATATTAGGTTCTGAAGAGATCTCTCAGATAACAACAGTACAGAAATGGAGTTTGTGTGAAAGGACCGTCAAAAGCTGGTATTTAGGGGGTCTGTAGAAATGCGCTTTGACAAAAGTGTTATTTATGTACTTCTGATATGTGTTTCCAGTCCTTCTTTCACCAAGGCTCTGTACTACACAAACAAGTTGAAAGTCGTATCAGGGTTTCAAGAGAAAGTAGCTGTATATCGTCTCTTATAGCCACAACACAGACGTGCACATTTTACATCTAGAGCAAGAAGACTGGGCTATATTACTCGTCTCCCTGATTTCCTTCAAAAATAAGCCAAGTAGGATTAGGCACAGGTGTGGGGCTAGTACATGAGTCTGTGTCTCTCAACATGCTGGGGGTGTAGGAGGGTGGATCTATTATTTTGATGATGGCCTGAAGGAATAAGTGTGCTTCAGCAGGGACAGGAGAATAAGGAGCTTCAGGGTGAGAATGAGCTGGTGAAACAGATACCAAAACATAAGGGATGAAGCAAGATGGGCAGAGTGCCCTCTGTGTGCAACAAAATCCAGTTTTGCCTGTACTATTAAAAAGCCTTGCTCTAATTTTAAATTCCACCATCAACTCTGATATGTTTAATAAATGTCTTAGCAGTAAGACTAAGTAGGTGACTTTGGAGTTGGGGGAATAAATTATCCCTCTGAATTGCTGTCCAGTATGTGCTTCCATTATCCTCTAGAAGATAAAATCAGTAGACTGCAGCAGGGGGGTCAGATGGGAGCAGATTTTGTCTCCCTCCTCATGTGGGGAGGGCATGGCATGAGTTATGGGGGAGATTGCTCTGCCTCACAACACCCTTGCTACACCATCTGTACTGCAGGGCAGGGGTGCTCCACAACACACTCCCCAGTTCTCACTGATCATCCAGATTTGGGGCACAGACTACAGTATGCTGTGAGCCCCTTTTGACTCAAATCTCTTCCTCAGCTTTCCTTCTGAAAGAGAGCAAGGTGCAGCAGGACCATGCCTGAAAAAAGTGGGGTGTATGCTTGGACCTGGAAAGAGCTCCTGGGTCAAGGGATCACTTGATACAGTCACAGTCTAACAGGCTACAGTGAGGCAGAAAGCCCTAGGGAAAATCCCTGGTGCTGGGTAGTCCTCCCATGGAGCAAGGGAGGAACAGGGACTCTCTGGGCATTTTCACAGCCACAACATGCCACGCTCCTGGAACAGGACAGTCCTGAACTACTTCATACACAAGCTTTACCAACCAGAAAGAAGACCCAGGACAGTATGGATCAAAAAAAGGAAGTTTCCACTAACCTGTAATGTAACAATTTTATTTTCAGGGCCTTTGTTTCAATTTCCTATTAACTTTTAGCCGAGCAGATCACAATATAGACAATCTTACTAGAGATGCATTTTGTACCCTCACAACATTCCTGTCAGACTGCTAAGCACTAATGTCATTTACAAAAGTCTCCCCTTGTAGCTGAGGGTACAGATTCTGGAGAGACAACACTCACTCATATACAGATGCTTACGATATTTTTTTTTTTCCCTTCAAAAGTGCTCAGCTCACAAAATTTTGCTTATGCTGCCACAACTAAGGCGACTGCAGCTCATATATACATGTCAGCTTTAAAATACCTAGCTCAGGTATTGCTAGGAGCACACAAATCCACAGAAGTACAAACCTCAGCATGGGCCGCTCAAATATTTTGGCCACATTAAGTTTTGTCACAATTGCAGCAACACCACTCAAAACTTAACAAGAGTGCAGGCAAAACTCAATTTTGCCACCCCAAGTATGAGGAACCAGAGCTGGAGGAGAAGGCACATCGCAAAGGTAGATCTAGAGAACAGCAATAGTTGGGGGGGAAAGGGAAGAGTAATGGAAATTTGGATGTAAAGCTTCTACTGCCACGGAAAAGCAGCAACCAGCCCAGCTCCCCAGGGCTCCAACAGATGAAACCAACAGGAAAACATCTGCTGTGTTACTGTCTTCTGCTTTCTCGGGCTGCTGCCTCCTTTGCCTACGCACAGAGCCAGCCCTGACTACCAGAAACCAGTCAGGCCACCTTATAGCTATTTTCTGAGGTTATACAAACTACTGATCACAGTCTTGCTACAGTTTTGAAATATCAGATCTCTGTGACAGCACTCCTCACCCTCACATCCTCATGTGCATACCAAACAAATTAATTCACATACATTAAGCTTGAATCTGGCCACACCTCCCCAAAAGGAGATTCCCAACCCCAGGGTACAAGGCACTGCATCTTGATGTATTTGGTGGCCTAGAGGAGCTCATGGTGTCCACAGTGGACGGTCCTGTCTCTTTTTGCCAAATCCGTGATCCACAACAGTCAGCAAGCAAAAGAGGGAGCAAGGCTTGTAGAGCCAGACTTGGCATTTGAATAGTCAGGCTTCACAATGCCAAGTTAGGGACCAGCGCTCCCTATGTGGGAAAGCATTGCCTCAGCCAGCCAGGAGGACATGGCAGAGACTCATGCCTGGAAGTCTTTTCCAGACACCTGAGCGTAGTTGTTTAACCCTCAGCAGCAGCCACTTTTGAGGGACAGGGAGTGGGACCATCCTGGATGATAGCCATGCTGATGCTCTGCAGGCTGAGCAAACAGAGGGTCCTGCCTGCCTTAGCCTGCAGCTCCCACCCCACAGCCCAGGACAGCACCTGGCCACCAGCCTGCAGGACATCCTAGGCAGGGTGTCCCACCTCTTTTCTGTAGGTGGGCCACTTTGGGATCCAGAAGATCAAAGAGGCTTTCAAACCAAGTGGTTCAGATACTCAGCTGAAAGCCTGGAATTTAGGCAGTTTCAGTATGAGCACCCAGCAGCCTGATTATAAGGATTCTTGACAGATGAGTCAGAGAGAGGAAATGAAATGGCCCGAGATGGGAGAAGGAATTGAAATTAGGAAGGTGCTCCGGTCTCTGCATTAATGGATAAAAAGGCAGCATCACCTCCTCTGGTTGCATTTTATGAGGTGTTAGATGTATCTAGACTTCAACTGAAAGATCAAAGTCTCCTGGTATGTTCAATAGTCATCTGCCTTTGTAAACTCCTCCACAGCTCAGGGATGAGACAGGCATCGAGCAGCAGAGAAGTGTCAGGGCTGCTTGGTGGCTCTGCTCAGCAGCCAGATATGAAGGATTTTCTGGGGAAAACAAAAACCAAAACCTCCAACAAAGCTTCATCACATTTCCCACTGTGATGCAGGGCTTACTAGCCTCAGAGACACAGGGGATACACCTCACCCTACCTCGTGATAGCTCGACTCGCCGAGAAAATGGACTTCTAAAAAACGGAGCTTCTTAGCGTCAGTTAGGTCACGATACCTGGACCCACATGAATATTCAGGAAATTGCCTTGGTCTGAGAAGAGCCACTAAGAGGAAACTTCTGAAGAGGTTGCAGATTAAATACTTTATAGAGTCTGCAGCGGCAGTAAAGGGACACGTCAGTAGTAGAAATCAAACCAAAAGCACTTTGGACATCACTTTCTCCACCTTTTCCTGCTTTAAAAAGAAACCTTCTCTTCTGCAGCTAAAATTGCTTTATATGATTGAAATGAGTTTGATCTCCAGGTATGTGCTACAGCAGTTCCTTTCATTTTAAAATCCTGGAAAATTCCTTGCCTTTCTGACCTACCTTCAAGTCCTTTCAGACCCAGATTCATAAAGAAATTTAGAAAACTAAATCCCACTGGAAGTGGCCCTCAGAAAAAGGTGCCAGCCTGTTTTTTCAAACACTATCTTAGCCCTGGTATTTGGAGTATCTTCAGTGTTGGTAAAATCAATGCCAAAGAGAAACCTAGAGATGTTCAGCACTTGTAAAAGTATGAATATTTTCTCACTGTCCACACAGGGGTCAGGAGTCAAATTTGCAGCACTTATAATGGTGGTCATTAAATCAGCATAAGCTGAAAGCTTTGAAAAAAAAAAAAATAAGAGAAGGACGAACAGGCAGCATTTACATGGCCTTTCCTTAAAAAAAAAAAAAAAATTAGCTAAAACGCCTCTATTCCCATTAGGAATGGAAACATACCAATGCAACCAGCACAATAATTTCAAAACAACTTTTGAGACCTGTCAGCTTTAGGGAATCTGCCTCAGCTGCCAAGAGAGAAGAGGTTTATTAAGCCAGGCTTGAAGTGACAAGTCCTTGAGAGGTCATCGGAGAATCCCCGAGGCACCACAGGGTCGCTCAAAACCACTGCGGGCCCAGCCAGGCCAGCTGGCACCCAGCGCTCCTTGAGCTCCCCCGCTCTCCCCCCAGCTGCGGATGGAAAGCTTGGAGATCACTTC